TCACTCAATCACTCTCTCTCTCTCTCTCTCTCTCTCTCTCTCTCTCTCTCTCTCTCTCTCACCTTCTGTGTATTTCCGTCTGCGCGGCCGTCTGTCTGTCTCCCTCTCTCTATTTCCCCCTCTCCCTCTACCTCTTCCTGTTTCTCTTGGTCTGACTCACCCCTGCCATTCTCTCTCGCGGCGAATGCTCTAGTCACGAATACGCAATGCTGGCCTTACAGCTTTTACAGGGACAAGCTGTGGGCGATACATACTCTGCTGTGCGGGTGATAACAGTATCGCTATACCCGACTGGCTTTAGATATTTAGCACGCTTTAGATACTCTAGAACAAACTGCATGCAGCGCCCCTTCGTACAACTCAAGATACAGTGAATTGAGCCAGAGCGAGAGCGCCATCTGTCGTGGAGTTTGACTCTAGAACACACATAATACAAATATCTATTGCACACGCCATATAAAAAGGGACGGTGGCGACATCAGAGAAACTCCAGCTCCTCATAGAGTCCTTTCGTAGAGATGGATTTCTCCGTCTTCGCATACTCCTCCTCCTCTTCCTCCTCCTCCTCATCACCATCCTCCTCCTCCTCTTCCTCCTCTTCCTCCTTCTTCTCCTCTTCCTCCTCCTCCTCCTCCTCCTCCTCCTCCTCCAGACTTCTTTCACATAGAGTTCCTTCACCGGACAAAAAACCCCACTCCTGAGGAGTCTCGAGAAGGATGCAAGCGCCATGCTCTAACGACGATCTTGTTTTTATCGCGTCATTAGTGTGATGTCATCCGAAAGCGACCGCATCATCGATAACAACATTCTAGCTATCATGCGGCCATGCGCGTGCGAAGATTGATAGATCTGCTGTCTAGTCCGTTATTAACGCTAGCTACTATAGTATAGCATCGTATTGTAACGCGAAGATGAGGACTAATTGGACGACACAAACATTTTACGGGACAGTTCAAATCTAGGTTCGTTAACATGTAATTACATTAACATAAAAAGACGATTCGCGCGATGCTAGAAGCGGCGGTTAACGGAGACGGATATACGTCTGGCAGATATAATACGAGAGGATAAAACGGGAATTTATGTCGGGGGGACTCGGGGAAACACGGGGCTGGAAATGCACGCAGTAAACGCGTGTATCTATGTCGATATCTATGTCGCGTCTCCGCGAACCGCTCCGCGCAGAAGACGCGCGACGTACGCGCCATCTATTAGGATACCAGATAAATCGCCGGGGAAAATTTTTATTTTAACGGCAAGATTTCTCAAGATCTATAGCGAGTCGTTGAAGGGAATTTTAATGACAGCCTATAACTTTCTATACGCGCTATGTCTGCGGAGTTCTGTCCGTGCTCTGGTGGAGAAATTCCACAGTGATTTACGCTCGCGCGTGTGCACGGCTGCGTGCGTGCGTGCTTGCGAACGTGTGTGTGTGTGTGTGTGTGTGTGTGTGTGTGTGTGTGTGTGTGCGGTTGTGTGTATCTATACGCGTGCGCGTGTGCGCGTGCGTGTATCTGTACGTGTGCGCGTGTGCGCGTGCGTGTATCTGTACGCGTGCGCGTGTGTGGCGTGTGTGCGTGCGTGTATCTGTACGCGTGTGCGTGTGTGGCGTGCGTGTATCTGTACGCCTGCGCGTGTGTGGCGTGTGCGTGTGTGCGGGCGTGTATCTGTACGCCTGCGCGTGTGTGCGTGCGTGTATCTGTACGCGTGTGCGTGTGTGGCGTGCGTGTATCTGTACGCCTGCGCGTGTGTGGCGTGTGCGTGTGTGCGGGCGTGTATCTGTACGCCTGCGCGTGTGTGCGTGCGTGTATCTGTACGCGTGCGCGTGTGCGCGAGCGTGTATCTGTACGCGTGTGCGTGTGCGCGTGCGTATATCTGTACGCCTGCGCGTCTGTGTATCTGTACGCGTGTGCGTGTGTGCGGGCGTGTATCTGTACGCCTGCGCGTGTGTGCGTGCGTGTATCTGTACGCGTGCGCGTGTGCGCGAGCGTGTATCTGTACGCGTGTGCCTGTGCGCGTGCGTGTATCTGTACGCGTGCGCGTGTGTGCGTGCGTGTATCTGTACGCGTGCGCGTGTGCGCGAGCGTGTATCTGTACGCGTGTGCGTGTGCGCGTGCGTGTATCTGTACGCGTGCGCGTGTGTGCGGGCGTGTATCTGTACGCCTGCGCGTGTGTGCGTGCGTGTATCTGTACGCGTGCGCGTGTGCGTGTATCTGTACGCCTGCGCGTGTGTGGCGTGTGCGCATGCACGTGCCTACGAAGACATCAATCATTTACTGTGTTCTCCTGAAACCTCAACGTCGTTTTTATTTCGCATTCTCTCTCTCGCCGCGTCGTAGTCATCGCAGAACGCATCAGTGCCGATGACAATATGATAGATAGACGAGATCGCGTAAAGTTGGCGCGCGCGCGCCGGCAAACAGCTATACGACGTCAAACACACGCACGCGCAGATTCCGTAAAACGCGCACGCATGCCACCGTCTGCGTTTTACCGCCTATACGATATTAAATTCACTCTGTA